AAGTTAATTATATGCTTTCTTTTCACTTTATAAAGTATTACATCTCATTTCTGGATATATGAAAATAAAAAGTAAATAATTAAAGGTTCAAGGCATTACTTATGAAGTATACAGAAATGGTATTGAAACCATTCAGGATTAAGCAGAGAATATGGCAAGGGGAATATTTGATATAATAGATAGTAGATGTTCTGGTTTCTTAGATTGGGGTTAATTTTTATATTTAATGAGTTCAGTATAAGCTAAAACAAGAGATTAAAGAATTGATTTGTTTATTAAAATAGCTGATTCTAATAAGGATGGTTAACTTTCTTACTAAGAAGTTGTAAGATTGAGTTAATAAACATTATAAAAGTTTATTAAAAATAGTAATAGAGAATTTTTGGATGAAATGTCATAATTTTTCTCTAAAATAATATTTGATTCAGTTGGAGTGGATTATTAATAAGAAATTTAATTTAATCAGTTAAAAGAAGTAATTAATTAAGGACATCCTAATTCAGATTTATTATGTATGTTTTGTGGTGCAGATTCTTGATTCTTTTTTGCTTCATTTTATTTATTTAACTAAAATGATTGCTTTTATGGAAATTAAATAAATATACTATTGCTGTTTATTAAATTTTAATAAGATTTTATAAAATATTTATCATAAGCAAAATGTTTGTGGTTTTTAACAATAAAAATCCTAATTTTAATAAAAAATAATTTTATTTATTTGGATATACAATTTGAAATCTCCTTCTTCAAAGTAAATAAAATATCATTATTAATTCACTTCATATATTTTAAAATCTTTTTTTTTCTTTTTATCATGAATTATTTAAAATTGAAACAAATTTATCATTTTAAGGATAATTTCAAATCACTTAGTTTGTTATATAATTTAATTGACATAAACTTAATATCCCCAATTTTATTATAAAATAAATCTAAAGTCCCTCAAAAATACTATTCAGTAAATACTCTTACAAGGCATTTATAGTTAAGCTACACTTTGTGGTTTCTGATGGAATACTAAGACTTTAGATGTTCAAAGGTCTCATCGTTATGGTCTTTTTATTTTCATCATTTAATAGTTTTTAATCTTTATCTAAAATTTAATAATTCCATTATTCATTTTTTAAATGAAGTTAATTAATTTCTCATATGTGATCTCTTTTTGGTGGTCATTTCCTTAGTTTTTTCTTTAGATAAAAGTTTCACTTATGATATTTATTAAAGTAGATAAAAGAAAAGCTGAATGATCTAGAGTAAAATAATTAATTATTAAAATAGAAAATTATATAATATATAACATACAGTTTCAAATTAAACATAAATGAAAAAAATTATTTAATACTTTTATTGTATTATTGTTTTACTTCAATTTAAGTTTAACAACATTTGCTTCCAAAATAAGTTGCAATTTATATCAAAAAGAGGATAGTAAACTAATGATAATATAATGAATTATTTTATAATTACTCATTAAGTTATTAATATAAATTATAGATCATGTTTTTATCAAGAGATATCAAATAATTTAAAGTAATATCAGTGTTATATTTAATATGCTTATGACATTTAGAGTTTACGATGAAATGATTACATACTAGCAATTCTTTTTTAACTATATTCTGTTTTACAAGTTCTCTTACTTGCTTATGCTGATTTATGTTCTGATGATGAAAAAAGATTTTTGTTTTTTATAAATTATTGTATGGGTCGTTTTAAGAAGTTATCGAAGTTAATTTAAGATAAAGTTTTTTGTTTTTACCTATAAAGTTGAGATAAGGGACTATGAATTTCAGATTTAGATTTATTATGGAGTTGATGCAACATTTATAAAGCATCATTTAATTAGAATTAAGGAAGTGAAATTAATGTTGATTATCCTGATTATTTCCTTGGTTTTACTATTGATACTCTTGATTTTAAGATTCTTTTACTATTCTTTATTTGTTGAGTTCTTGTTTTCTTGAATTTATAGAAAGCTATAACAAATTAAACTGCTCTCACAAATATCTTAAATCGATATAGAATTTTTTTATGTCTAAGTTGTTTTACTTAGAACAACCCTTATGAGATTAATCTACGCCACTTGCTTCCATAAGAACCATAAATCTTTTCATCACAACTTTGTGATTTATGGTATTTTAAAACATTGATACATTTCTTTGTTGTTGTTTGAATTTGGCTTTTTCCCATTAAATCTGGCATCATTAATGGTCTCATTTGTATTCTCCAATTTTTTTCTATTAATTTTTGAGGTGTTTCGTTTGTTATTTGAAACTCATTTGATTTTTTATGAAGCCTTTTATAATATAAAGGTCCTTTTAATCTGGGACTGAATTCTTAAAATATTAATAGAGGACATTGAGATTGTATGTGGTCATTTATTAGATTATCCATTAAAAACTATTTGCAGATTATACTTAGTAATATATTATATATATAAATATAAATATTTATAATAAAATTGAAAATGAGCGATATGTTTTAGGGAAATAAAAGTGGAGTCTCATATGGAAGTCAATATGATGCGTAATATTTTTAAGGAAATATTGAATTTTAGTTTAGGTGCTAGTTTTGGTAGAATTGCTCCATAAGATAAATAAAGTATAGGATCTAATAATGGAGGTGGAAGTTTTGCGTAAGTTTCAGTTTCATTTTTGGTACAACCAGATCAATACAGATCATCAGTTGGTTTAGAGGAAGGGGGACCATAAATTCAAATATTTGAATATTAAGAACCATAAAATTAGAAAGGAATACTTTTCAGAAGTAGTGGAGACTTTGAAATGTAATTTGAGGAGATTAGAATGGATAGATTAAATATAGATTAATAATAAAAAGTTGAAGAGGATGCTTAATAATAGGAAAAATTCAATTAAAGGGCATCAAATGAATTCGAAATGAAAATATGTAATATTCTATATATATTATAGAATGTGCAGAGTAAATTAGTACAAATTTTAAACCTGAAATATATCAGATGGTGAATCCAAATATTATAGAAGAGAATAAGAATCTTTTCAACGTTAATATCTCTAAAAGCATTTATACTAATAAAATAACATAGCTTGTTGAATAGACTTAATTGAAATTAAATTAATAAAATAGAAATTAAACCCCTACTCATCTATCGTAATTATTTAAATTTTATAATTTTAGTAAAAGTTAATAAAAATTATAAAGGAAATCACCAAATTTATAAAGAGATCATTCAGATTTTTCATCAGATTTTAATTAATAGAATAGCAATGATCCTAATTAAGATCCAGTATAATAAAAATTGGCTAAAAATAGAGAATCAGCAAGAAATTCTAGGGCAAGAAAAAAGATTTATTATGAATTATTAGAAGTTAAAGCTTAAGAATTGTAGAATGAAGTGGATTCATTAAAATAATAAATTTAAAATTAATAAAAGTATACAGAAATCTGTAATAAATCATAAGAAAAAGTATTATACTATTAGATTATTAGTTTTAAATGTTTTTAGAATAATAATAATTATTGTTTGATAAACTAGAAACCTATATAATTAAAAATAAAGACAATATGGAAATAGGAATGATTTTGGATGCTTTAAGATACAGAACTAATTCAAATAGTTAAGAAAGAAATGATGCAGCAAGGAATCATTTTGATTAAATGGTAGAAGTCTGTCTTCCAATTCAAACTAGATATTTGATATATGCATTGGAAAAAAACAAAGATTTTTTTGCTTAATAACCAAAGTATGTTTTTTTCAATACAATTCCAGTGATTATTCTGATTGGATGATTGATTCTTTTTAAAAGACTGACATTAAGCCAGAATAAATTGTAAAGGTTAAAAAGATGAAAACTAAATTACAAAGTGTTAGAAATAATATATCAGAGTATAAAATAACAATATAAAATAAGTTCAATTCATAAAATAAAAGAGTAATTGAAGTTAATATAATGTGAAGCTTTGAAAGTTGATCAAATGTGGGAATAATTGAAAGAATGTTTGACACCTATTTAATTAGGATCATGTATTTTAGCAATGAGATAAGTATAATTAATATATTATTAAATAAGAACTAATACAGATAAGAATTATAAACATCTTCATTATTTTTATAACTCAAAAATTCTTAAATGGTATAAAAATTATTTTATATCTAAATAGTCAGATGAAGATGAAGTTTAAGGTAACTAAGAGTAATTTACTGTACCAAATAATAGAAAACTTATAAAAAAATCATAGAATTGATATGCTTATCTACATATTGATTATTTTACTAATTAAATAAACTTGTAAATTAAATTAAAATTATAATAATTTTATAATGTCATTACATTCTCTATTTTCTATTGTTGTTATTTATTACTATTATCATTATTTTTATTATGATAACTTCCTTTTGATAAACAAACTTCTTGTTTATTTTTATACAAATTAATGGTTATTAATTATAAAAGAACAAAATTCTTTATTAGATAATTTTAAACTAAGTTAATATAAAGCAAATTGTTTTAATAATCATTTCTTTGTCTATGCAAAAATGGAGCAACTTTTAGGCTTGAGGATAGATTAGATTGAATTGGAAGAGTATCTTGGAGAGAGAGCAGGAGATTGATTTGGAGAGGATTTTCGATTCTCTGAGAAATAATAGATTTGATTTTAATTGCTGAATCTAAGTTGCTTCATCTTTAATCGTAATCTTGATTCGATATCTCCATTTCCGTTGTTGTTAATTAATGTTTAAAATTAATCCTCTTAATCAGAATCTGGCAATATCATATCTTCTTAGTCCCCTTTTGTTTTTATTATTTTCTGGATCAGAATCAATTGCAATGGTACATTGTTCATATGTCACTTGAAATTGATATGATAAATTAATTATTTATTATACTCTGTATACATTAAAATACAGTACTAAATTCTTGATAGATGACTGGAGTACTGATTTATAAATTGATATTTTCTTTAACAAAGAATCCATAGCCAGATATTTCGTCATTATCAATTTATTTTAATTATATTCGATGGATGTTTCTCAAAAGGATTTAATACTAAATAGAATTCGAGACTACTTGAGCAGACAATCAAACAAGGTTAAGGCCTTGCATTACTGCATATCAATATATATTAGTTAATGCATCTCTTCTAATAAAAATATTTTTAGATATAATCGCAATATTAGTAGCTAGGCTGCAATTAAAAGATTAACTTGTTGGAGATTTATATAAAATATTATAATATTAGATCAATCATCTATAAGACAATATATGTAGCATACATAAATAAAGAGATTAAATAAATGATGAGATAATTTCAAAAGAAAATAGATTAAATTGCATAAAACAAGGAATGAGAACTTAAAGAATTTCAAATTTTATAAATCAGTAATTTGAAGAATTGGTTGATAGTATAAAGAAGTTCAATGAGAAATTTGTTTATTTGAACAAGAAAATTAGGATTTCAAAAAAATCTTAATTCATTAGAGGAAGAAAATAATGAGTTAAAATAATAATATTAAATTATTATAAATATTAATATAAATAGATTAGAGATAGATATTATTAAAATTTGAATATATTACACAACTTAGAGGAGTATTGATTGAAATTGATTAAAAAATGATAATAAAATAATCATAATTGAAATCATAAAGATTTAGTTTTTTCATAAAAAATTAAAAGAATGATACTATTTAATCAATATATAAAAAGAGAGTACATTTAATGAGCAATTGATAAGTATTTAATATTCTCTTGAAGTTAAATGTATTATGTGATTATTTTAATGAGATCAATGAGGAATCATTTAATAATTTGATTTATTAATGTTTTGTTTATAAATATCAAATTAATTGTATTACACAGAAATCAATTAATAGAAATTTGTCATAAGTGATAATTTTAATGTATGATTTTATATAAATAAAATATAAAGATAAGAGTAAGAGTAAAAATCATATAATCCTGAATAAAATAGTAGTAATAATTCTAATGAGAAAAGGTAGATTCAAGTAGTCTAAAGTATAAGACTTATGAAAAACTTGAGGTTTTCTATTTTTGGATACTAATTAAATTATATTAAATTTACTCTTGATTATATTGTAATTTGTATTTCAATTAATTAAATTTATAGTTATTAATTATTATTCTAAGAATGTAAGATGAATATGATGATCATGGAGAAGATAATTTCTAAGATGATGAAGAGTATGATCAATTTAATTAAATTGATTAGATGGATCATAATTAATTTGATAGTTGTATGATTTCATATTAATATTTAAGCATAGAATGAAAAGAATTAATAGGACTTAAAGTATGGAAATAATGCAGCTGAATAATAGAAACAAATAGAAGATAAGATATCAGAAGATCTAGAAGAGAAACTCAAAATGTTAGAGGAGTATTCCAAAGATAAAAGTGAAGAACAAATTTTGAATATAAGAATGCATTAATTGGCATTAGCAAAAGTACATTATCATATTAATTAAGATACTTGTGTTTACTCATAATAAAGGACAATTCAAATTAGTCAAAGCACATACAAATATAGGTGAAGCATATCTTAATTATAAGTGTTATGAATAAGCTATTGATCATCTAACATTAGCATTAAAAAAGAATAGCAAATTATTTAATGAAGAATCAGAGAGTAAGAGTTATAATTCAATCATTCTTACATTACTTGGAAAATGTTATTTAGAAATTAATAGTTATGAGGAATCTTTAGATTTATTGAAAAAGGCTTATGAAACCCAATGTTAAATATATGGGGATGAAACTGAACACTCTATTTAAACTTTAACTTTAATGTCTAATTGCCACATGTAAACTATTAATTATTTTTTTTTTATTAGAAAAATGAAAGATTTTGATGCAAGTGAAGAATGTATTACTAAAGTCTTTGCTATCACTGAAGCCAAATATGGATATAAATCAGAACAAAGTGCAATTTCATATATTGAAAAATCAAAAATATATGCATGTTAAGAAAATTGGAAAGATGCTATTGAATGTTTGTCTAGTGCTATTGATATGTTAATTGAAATTAATTATCAAAAAACTGAATATGTGGCAGAATTATATCATTAATTATCTACTTATTATGAAAAGATTTAATAAATTGATGAATAAATTGCTTGTCTATCAAAAGTGAAACAAATTTATATTGAATTATACACAACATAAGATAAAAAGGTCATCAAAATTAAAAGATAAATAGCCATTATATAATTAAAATAAGAAAAACATTAAGATGCCTTAGCTGAACTATATGAGACTGAAGATTTAGAAGTTAAAGTTTATGGAGAAGGAAGTGTGTAAGTAGCTAAAACATAAAAAATAATAGGTAGTTTTTAATTTAATCAAAAAAGGAACCATTTTATTATTAGTTTAAGAATTTAGAGATGCGTTGAATTATTTCTAAAAGAGTTTAAAAACATTTGAAGAGAATGGAATGAAAAAAGCAGTTGCAGAAGTGAAATAAAAGATAAAATGTGCTAAAGAAATGAAAGAGAAAGGGAAAACACAATTTAATCTTAAAGATAAATAAAGTTTAATGTAAGATTATTGATAATATATATAATCATTATTACCTATTTTTTATTATTTTTACTCTAAATCCTTATAAAATATTATATTATAACTAAATAAAACTACTTTGCCTTTAAAATTATCACACAATTTAGAAAGAATTAATAAAATCAAATTCAAAATTCATTCAATAATTTTATTTAAATGCTGATATCAATTTAAGTAGAATAATAATTAAATAGAAAAAATATCAATAGCCAGAAGACAAATCAAGAGAACTATATATATAGAATTGATTATTAAGAAAATATTGTAAAGTGCTGAATTTTTAACACAAAGATATATATTTTGTAATCCAAATAGAGTGGATAATCTATTATTAATTAAATCAATTTATAGAATTCTTCTAATGTCAGATATTTAGTTAAAAATGATAAAATTATCTCATAAAGTATAATTATAAATTAAAGCTCATTCGAAATATGGATAAAAAGGAGTCCATACTTTATAATAACAATATTAAAAGCTTCAAACATTATTGAAATAATAATAATAATGAGAATAATAATAAAGTTAAGAATAAATATTATATTATTTGAAGATTATTATTAATCTTTAAATAATTATCAATAAAATAAAGATCTTTGTTTAAAATTAATCATAAGCTTGGAATATTATTTTAGTAAAGTCTAAAAACATAGCATCATAATATGATGTTTTATGTAAATTCTACATATTTTCATTATTCTTGATTCAATGTAAATTATTAAGTGATTGATTAAATTTTATTACATCATATTAATGCTTCGTTCCAGTTCATTCCTAGGAGGATATTCAAGATCACGTAATATATTTTTCCATTAAGAGAATAGTATCTAAAAACAAATTAAGGCCTAGAATATAGTCTTACAGACATACCAAATTAAGGTATTTGGCATTGTTTTTTGCTTGCATGATCATGATAGGTGATGCTTATTGCTTTGATAATCCCATGGCTTTATAAAGTGAAATAAAGGATTAATATGGGGTGGATCAATTTAAATTCAACCTATTATATACAGTTTATTCATTACCTAATATTATACTCCCATTTTTTGGAGGTGTTTTGATAGATAAAATTGGTGCACGAACAGCCATTTTACTTTTTTCAACAATCATCATGATAGGTCAATTAGTTTGTGTTTGGGGTGCATCAAATTTAAGCTTTTGGACTTTAATAACTGGAAGAGTAATATTTGGAATGGGATCAGAGAGTTTGAATGTTTCATAGAATTCTATAATGGCTATCTGGTTTAAAGATTAAGAGATGAGTTTAGCAATAGGATTATGCATAAGTATTCCTAAAATTGGTAATGCTTTGAATAGTCTTCTAAGTCCATAAATATATTCTAAATATTAATCTTTAGCTGCTCCTATGATAGTTGGAGTTGGAACACTAATTTTCTCATTTGTAAAGATCATCAAATAACTATCTAGATTTGTGGATTAGCCTTAATTTATATGGACTATAAAAGTGAATAGAGAGAAAAACAAAATCAAATGTTATTGAATAAAAATGATGAAAATCATAGATCTCAATCAGAACTTTCTGCATCAGTCAAATAATCAATTAAAGATGATGATTGTGATTCTCCAGATCTAGGAAGAAGCCCAGAAATATGTATGAATTATTTATATTTTTAAGTTGCCACTCCATAGCATTAAGAAGAAGCAGTAGAACATGAAGTTAAAGAAGAAATCAATTTTAAAGATATAGCTAAATTATCAGGTACTTTCTGGATTTTGATTATAATTTGCATGTTGACAGAAGCATTATTTGTACCATTCCTTGATAATGGAAATGAATTATTACAAGAAAGATTTGGTATGACGGCTGAAGAAGCAGGACTATTCTTGATTATACCATACTTGGTTGCATCAGGATCAACTCCCTTTATTGGAAATATGGCTGATAAAGTAATCTAATTTATAGTATTATTAAGCTTGGTAGAAGAAGTTTATTAATTATTGTAACATCATTTATTTTTCTTATTACACATATCCTTTTTATTTTCAGAATGTGTACATCAGTTTGTTTTTTAATCACCATCCCATTAACTATTTTGGGTTTGTGCTTTGGATTCTATGCTTCTGTTGTTATTCCTTCAGTACCATTTGTTGTCAAATCTAATCTTGTTGGAACAGCATTTGGATTAACAGGTGTATTTTAAAACACTGCTTTAGCCTTATTTCCTATGATAACTGGAATGATATTTAATTAATTCAAATATGATGAACATGGAGAAGAAAATGAAGAAAGAGGATATGTCTATTAAAGTTTTTTCTTTATAGGTATGAGTATATTGCTTGTAATTATTGCTATTTTATTGATGTTTGTTGATAAAAATGGAGAAAAAAAATTAAGTTAGAGAGGAAGAGGAATGGGAAGGAAAAATAAAGTTGAATATGTAAGTGTGCATGAAGTTACAGATATGCCAGCAGATAAAAAAATTAGTATCAATTATGATAAAGACAATAGAATTTGATATTCAATTATTTATTTTAATAAATAATTTAACTTCAATTTTCAAATTATCAATTAAGTAATAATATTGTAATATTTATTAATAATATCATATTATTTTATTTCATATGTGTTTATTCATTAATGAATTAGTCTAATTTTCAGAATAATCTGATATAAGAAAATTGTTCTTAAGATTTTCAAATTGAGTATTACTAATAATATATACTATTGGTTTATTCAAATTAATAAATAATATTTTATTATTTTATTATTTTATGAAATGGGTATTGATAGATTGCATTTTAATAATTATTTATTTTAAATTTTACTAATCAAAATCTATATCAAAATGGATGTTCTCTTTATTTAATTATTTATTATTGGAGTAATACTAATAATTTGTTATTCGTTTTTAAGTAAATAGTTTATAAAAAATAAATTAAAAAACAATGAACTGAATCTATAATCATTATTTTATTTATTGAAAATGTATTTTCTTTGAAATATATTGTTTATAATAGAATTTGAATATCAATATTAATTATATTTGAAATTTAGTATAAAGTAGAATGATAAATAGAGAATACAAGAATATATAAATATATTTATCATTAATTATCAAATCAAAATTGCAAAATTCAATTAACTACTAAGGTGCTACTTGTACTTTTGGTATTTTTTAATTAAGTTTACATGTTTTAATCATAGCTATATCCATAAAATAAATCTAATTATTAGATAATCCTTACTTTAGACTGAATTCTTTTTCAACAACAATCTATTTTCTACAATTTATTCATCCTAAGTATCATTATCTTCACTAATATTATTTATATAATCTAAATTCTCTTAAATTGGCTAAAAAATAAAAAAATTAAATATACTGGAGGTATGAAAGGTGATTGAATTTCTTTATTTAGTAATTTTACCCATGGAAAATTCTATAACCATGGATGTTGTTTCACTTCATTAGGTCCATTAAATCCCAATCTATTAATAGGTTTACGTTATATTAATTTATTAATGAAATCTGCAGCATCAATTGACCAATCATCAGGCAATTCACTTCTTTTTACTTAGATTTGTCTTGTTAGAATTTGATCCCTAATTTCCTATCTTGTTCTTCCATTATATGGTCTTCTCCCCAACATAAATTCATATGTCATTACTCCCAAAGCAAAATAATCAACAGCAATAGTATGATTCTATCTACACATAACTTCAGGAGCTATTGATTTAATTATTAAGATATAAATACCCATATATCCTGGTGTTCCACTTGTATCTTAGGAATTCTCAGGTTTCCAAATTCTAGCAATTCCTAAATCAGTTAACCTAGCATAACCATTATTATCAAGTACAATATTTTCAGGTTTAACATCTCTATGAATAACATTTGAATTATGTAGATATTCTAATGCTAATATAACACATGCAATGAAAAATTTAGTTTAATGTTCTTTAAATCTTCTCATACGACCTATATGATATCTGAGATCGCCTCCTGTTAAAAGATCCATTACTAAATATAAGTTATCTCTATCTTAAAAACAGAAATTCATATTAATTAGAAAAGGATGTTTGAATTATGCTAATAGATTTCTTTCATTCATAACAGAATTTACACTTCTTTTAGCAATTATTTTAGCTTTAGACATTTCTTTCATGGCAAATTATGTTCTACTTTTTTTTAATTCAACTTTCCAGACCCTTCCAAATCCTCCTTTGCCTATAACAAAATGAAAAGCAAAACTAGATTTTGTTACACATATCTATGTATCAATTTATAATTCTTCATCTTCTGGTTCTTCTTTTTATACCTTTTTAATTGGTGGACGTTGTTAAGACTATTATTAAATAGAATCATATTTAACAAGCAAAGAATTAAATATACTCTCAAAATTTTATATATTGGCTTTTATTTTTGTAGTAGAACTTACTTAAGGTATTTTTATATGTGGAACTTCATTTATATTGATTTTTAAGTTGGCGCTAGCAAATTTATTATGATTAGATAATTTTTATGAAGCCTAACGATTGAGACTTATAGAATCTTCATTTTCAAAAATCTTTTTAGTGTCTATAGTAGATTATTTTGGTGATTTTTATATTGATAATTACATGGGACTTTTTGATCTTGATCTATTACTATCTTTACTAAAAAAACTAAGCTATGGATTTTTATATGGCAATGCATATTCATTTATATTAACTTATCCAATTCTTATTTTGTTTGGTGTATGTACTGGTGTATGATTTCTTTATTATTTGTCTTCAGCATTCTTTTTTTATGCATATTGTATAAAGTTGCCAACTGCTATAGGGGATTTTCCAATTCGTAATCTATCGGAAGGAAAATTGGAGAAAGGTTTAGAGTATTTTGAAGAAAAGAGTTCCCTTAGATTACGATGGTGGTTAGACATTTATAATTATTTTAATACATCTTCTAAAATTCATATTATTAAAACAAAATGCCAAATTATTATATTATAATGGATAAATCTAATTCAATCATTCATCTATATAGTTTTATCAATAATTAACATAGTTTTATCTTCTTTAAATTAATGATGATTCTTTAATGTGAAACTTACTATTAATTCATCTTAAGTATATCCAATTGTTTATAATTGATGAGTAATTTTTATTAACTTTTCCATACTTTGTTAAATAGTTATATTTCCATCATTAGCTTACATTTTGATTGCCAAATTTTTATCCTTTAATTAAGAATTTATTTAAATATCAAGAAAATTCAAACATTTTTGTCTGATAGTCTATTTTCTCTAGTATTTGATCTAAACTCTTTTATTTTTGTTTAACAAATATTATTCAATATATGCTAAAATAAGGCCTTCTATTAAAGAAATTCTTAATAATATTTTTCTCCTGTTATAATAAATTAATTATAATCTTCAACTAATTCTGGGTAATTGATTTCCATGTAGTTTTTATCCTCAAATACATAATTGTTGTCATATTTAACCAAATAAGTATTTTTATTATCTTCATTTTCTTTAATTATTCTGTTTGGTGTACTAATATCTACAAAAATTGAATTAATTCTTTATCTTTTTTATGACATACTTATTTAATGGATTCATAAATATTCATGTCTTTGTTCTCAAAAATTATACCAAATAGATTAATCAAATTAACAATTTCATTTCATTAAATTTTACAAATAACAATACCAGAAATTCATCTTATCTTGAAATTTTATTAATTCTAATTAACATCTAATTAATCATACTTTAATTATAAATATATTATTTAATTTTTAATAAGAGATTAATTACATATATATATATCACAATAATTAGAATAATTTCAATTAAGCTCTACGTATTAGACGAGGAGGTTTTTTGGATGATTCCAATTCAAAATCAGCTGAAATTTATGAAGCATTTTAGTTTCTAGAACTTTGATTACATCTAGGTGTATTAGTTTATGACCGAAATTTCTATTAGAATTATTTAGACTAGAGTTCTATTTCTAAAAATTTTCTCATATTTTAATTTGGAGTAATTAAATCAATGTTTTTTCTTTTATTAAGAGGTGTTAGAGTTCTTGATTAAATATTTCTATTTTTTTAACTATTTTTTCTTATAAACAATTCTTCTACTTTACCTTTAGTCTTTTGATTTAAAAGGTTTGTGTAGACTTTTGATAAAGTATTATTCTTATCAGATGTTTTTAATTAACTGGATTTTAAAATTGATTTAACAATCTTCTTTTCTTTTGAATAATTGTAACAAACCTCTGTAGTACCTAAATTAATCTCATATCTTGACCAAGAAACTCTTTTTCTACTATAATTTTAAGATTTTGATATAGTTGTGGTCATGAATTTATCATCATTTGATTTTTGTACAGAATTTAAGTAAGTATTTTATAAGAGTGCTTCATCTTAATCCTCTGGTGTTTTATTCCAATTTCTACTTATTACTGTCTCATTCATTTCAACTTTCTCAAAATCAATGAGCTACTTCAAAAAAGATGCTCTAATTTCGAATTCCTTTTTTAAGATGTTGATGTATTGGAGAGCTTTGAATAAACTCCATTTAAATCTAATACTATAAATTGAAATGATTACCTAAACATAAGATAACTTACTAGAGCTGTTAGTGATCGACTTTAACCACTTACACAACAAAATAATACACTTTCACCTCTATTTAAGGCTTTTCCAACAAATCCCTAAATTTCTCTTATAGTTTCTAGAGTGACTATAATCTAGCTAGAATAAATTTATACTTAAGAATCCTCATCCTTCCAATAATATTTTAATTCCTTTAAATTATCAGGTACTTTAATTTCTCCAGCTGCACAATTGACTACATGAGTTATTTAATTTATTTTCATATATTATTATTCCTACCATAGATAATATAATAAACTTCTAAAGGAACATAATTTCCTATAAATATGCCATCTAAAATCCTGGATGCAATTATATTACTAAATTGCCTAAAATTAAGTGAACAATTTAACATTAATTAATGTTTAATAATGATCTTAATTTAAATAATTGGATTAAGCTACTATTTAGGTCTACTAAGATAATTTATAAGATTTAATTAAAGATGATACTAAAACAAAATTTTACATTTATTTATATTTGATATCAAGTAAACTTATTCATTTACTAATTATATTTAACTTGCATTCTAATATTGCTTCAATTTCTCATTCTTGAATCTTCATTTTATTGAATTTAATATTTTTCAATCTTTCTATAGAATAATATTCTTGGCTCCAACTCTAGCTGTAGACATATATGCATCTTTATAATTTAAGACACACTTACTCAAAATATATTTTCGTATTCCCAGCTAAGAATGTTAAAAGTCTTTGTCTATATGAGATGATTTACAACTGTTATAAATATTACAAAATAATAAATAAATAATGCTAAAATAATGAATCAAAATTGTCCTTGCTCGACCTATTATTATTATATTTTCGAATTTTTTAAGATCTGTATAATAGAACTAAAAAGAGTTGATCCACATTCTTATAAAAATGATTTGAAAATCTGCAATCTACTACTAGGTTTTTAATATAATATTTAAAATATATTGATAAAGTCATTATTAATTATTGTTAATTTTCTTATTTTTTTTTTTGAATTCCAATTAAAATCGAATAAGAAAAATGTGATATATTAATAAATTCACTAGAAATGTTATAAATATATTATTATTAAATCTTTGAGATTTAATTTGATAGAATGATTAAATGAATATTCATTTTATTTATTACTAAGAAGAATCTTAACTCTTTAAAATAGTTGTTGGGAAATTGAACATTAAATGAGTCTTTTGAGATTTTTTTATACCCTTCCATATTTATTTATTATATCTCTTAATCATCATAAAAATTAATGTCTACTTCAAATATTTATTAAATAATTTCTAAGTTAATTAATTAAATCATATTTCTAAAAGTAATCCTCAAAATTAATATATATATATTGTATTAGTATTAGTATTATGTAATTTTTATAATAAAATAATAATTATTTCAAAATTTTTATTAATGATTATTTTGTGCTTCCTTTATATCTGTAATCATAGGCCTTGTAATAAGTGTACTAGGATTAAGTTATTTAATATTTTTCGAGACTAATAATTAGTAAATAAGAATACTATCTGATTTCTTATGTTGCGTTTTTTTCGTAATTTTTATGATTTCAGTATTTGGATCCATTCCATTTTTTCTTGATTCAATCAATTTTACATGCATTCAGATCTTCTTCCTAAATCAGAGCAATGAGATTCTTCAGATTTGAGTAAGTCTGATTACTTTCTCGAATTTTATTAATTCATAAAACCGAAAAGTCTAGTTTATATTTCAGTTAATTACTATTTAGACTTTTTTTATCTCTTTTGGGAGATAATTATCTGAAACAACTATTTGCATCTTTTAGTCGTTATTCTCCCAATGAAAATAATAAACTACCATAAGACTTAGAACTATCTTGTTGAAGATTATTTAATTTATCAAATAAGGCTTATTTGAATTTTTAAGTAGCTCTACCATCAGGAGATGATATGAAGTATGATTCTTTTCTCCGAATTCTATTAGTTGTATTAGAATAATTGATGGTATCAGATTTCATTGACAATAATTCAACTACTGATGTAGAATTTTTAGTGCTTAAGAAATAGAAAAGAATTTTACTGTATTTTTTAGATTTAAATATATTAAATATATTGTTAAAATTATTGTGCATTTTTATAAATCTTTTAATTTAATTATTTTTATTAAATAATTTAAGCACATTTAGACAAAGGAGATATTATAGCAGATCTATATTCTATTAAAATTATTAAAAATTCACAATGTTTTTGCCTTCAATTAGATTGTTTGTTGTGATATTTAAAGGTTATTTTTATAGAGTCAGTAAACTTGTTTTACTATCTTTACTAAATGATTATGCTCTATTCTCTGAACATGGTTAAGGAAAATGATTTTGATGAGTAATTTTGTCTGTAAAGATATTATTATTAGTCAATTACAAAATCTTTGAAGTTTCTAATAATTCAATCTAATTTTTTAATGATATAAATGTACATTATTTTTAATAGTATTATCTCATATTAGAGACGAGCTTTTTATTAGCATTTTTAATTTAATTTCTCTATTAAGTATTAAATCTTTTCATTATAATATAAATAACTATATTAGCCATCTTTATTGGCACAGATTCCATAAAATTACAGGTTTCAAGTTTTTTATTTTTATCTCCACTATATCTTTTTGATAATATATCTATTTTCGATTATAAAATTAAATTATCAGAATTATTTTACTTTTATTCAATAAGTTATTATTCTAAAAATTAATTTTAATCCATTAATTATTTTATTTACTACTAATATTCTAATTACATTTAAGTTTTCTCTTTATTAATTTAAGACACTTATTTTCTTAAATCTTCTTCTATATTATTCTTATTTTCTTATATTGATTGATTTTTTAAAACTGTCTATTCAGAATTACTTTCATTTTTATTGTTATACCAAAAATTCTAATTAACACAAAGCTATTTCTTTACTATATGATATTTAAAAAGAATCATTTACAATTTTTCAATCCACTTCCTTTAGATGGAAAGCAGAATTTAGTTGTATTTTAATTTTATGGAGCTGGAGGTTCTTCCATTGTATCTTTTTAACTTTAATATCTATCTACTCTCTAATTAGTAGATTCTGATATTATGCTTTGAGGATTAAATTCAATAAATTGCATATATGTTATTTATTCATTTTCTTAGCTTTATACACTTTTAATTTTTGATTTGCTCTTTTATTCAAGAGAATCAATAGATTATTATAATTCTGATGATCTTGATTCATGTGTTTATTGACAATCAATACGAATCAATTATGAATAATGAGTTTGTGATTATTTAGAGAAATTTATGTCTTGATTGTCTTAATTAGGAATATTATTACAAAACTCTTCAAAAGTGTCTGATTCTGGAATCTTTTGTAAGTATTGTAATACTTACTTCGTTCTCCATAATTATTTCCTATTTGAAACATTATAAATTGCATGTAACTCGTTATTTATATGAAGATTACATGCACTTTTTTAATTGAAATTTTTATAATTGTTTGAATAATTAAAACAAATATATTTCAGTATTAAAAATACAAATAAACAATAAATCATTAACACTTGCTGCAATGGAATTCGTTTTGATGGTATTTGCCATTTTTTATACCTACACATTCGAAATGGTACCAATTTTTACATGAATCACACTTAAAATGATATTATGATATACTTGTATATATTGTCTATCGGGATTCACCGGTTAAGAGCAAAAGCAAAATTATTAGACTGAATCCATATTACAAAATTATTTTTTCTAAAGATCCCATTCCAATCTATTAAAATAAATAGTGGATTCTATTTCATCTAACTCTTAATATTCATTGCAGCTCAATATTTTACAGCTAGCAATTATACTCTAGGCTAAAATATACTCTTAATGGTTAGTTAAAAATAATTCTTGTTCAGAAATCCATTCTGAACATTTTGGCTTAGATTTGATGATCTCACTTTTTCTCATATACCATTAAATTTTACACAAACATATCAATTTAGTTGTTGTTGGCTCTTTTATTGATATAATTTATTTTAAGGTTCCAACATAATCCTCATCATGTTGATCTCCACTATTAATTAAAACTGAATCCCCAACACTCAATACTTACCCTTGAACTTTAATTGTGTCATATTCTTCATATAACCCTTTAGTTTATGATCCAACTTTGACTAATGTTTTCCATGCCTTTTATTAGTAAAGTTCTCTAATTGTCTATCTTTTCTATAATCTCTTATGGATTTGTTTTTTTATAGTTGCAGAACTCTCTGGGGACTATCTTTTCATTAATTTACTATAGTCTGCCACTTAGTTACCTTACTAAGATTTAATCATATTTTATTTAAATTTCTACAAATGCGTAAATTTCTCATTTCGCTTTATAATAATTTAAGCAAAATTAATCACTCTATATATATAATATTCATATTGTCAATTTTATAGCCCNTATGAATAATGAGTTTGTGATTATTTAGAGAAATTTATGTCTTGATTGTCTTAATTAGGAATATTATTACAAAACTCTTCAAAAGTGTCTGATTCTGGAATCTTTTGTAAGTATTGTAATACTTACTTCGTTCTCCATAATTATTTCCTATTTGAAACATTATAAATTGCATGTAACTCGTTATTTATATGAAGATTACATGCACTTTTTTAATTGAAATTTTTATAATTGTTTGAATAATTAAAACAAATATATTTCAGTATTAAAAATACAAATAAACAATAAATCATTAACACTTGCTGCAATGGAATTCGTTTTGATGGTATTTGCCATTTTTTATACCTACACATTCGAAATGGTACCAATTTTTACATGAATCACACTTAAAATGATATTATGATATACTTGTATATATTGTCTATCGGGATTCACCGGTTAAGAGCAAAAGCAAAATTATTAGACTGAATCCATATTACAAAATTATTTTTTCTAAAGATCCCATTCCAATCTATTAAAATAAATAGTGGATTCTATTTCATCTAACTCTTAATATTCATTGCAGCTCAATATTTTACAGCTAGCAATTATACTCTAGGCTAAAATATACTCTTAATGGTTAGTTAAAAATAATTCTTGTTCAGAAATCCATTCTGAACATTTTGGCTTAGATTTGATGATCTCACTTTTTCTCATATACCATTAAATTTTACACAAACATATCAATTTAGTTGTTGTTGGCTCTTTTATTGATATAATTTATTTTAAGGTTCCAACATAATCCTCATCATGTTGATCTCCACTATTAATTAAAACTGAATCCCCAACACTCAATACTTACCCTTGAACTTTAATTGTGTCATATTCTTCATATAACCCTTTAGTTTATGATCCAACTTTGACTAATGTTTTCCATGCCTTTTATTAGTAAAGTTCTCTAATTGTCTATCTTTTCTATAATCTCTTATGGATTTGTTTTTTTATAGTTGCAGAACTCTCTGGGGACTATCTTTTCATTAATTTACTATAGTCTGCCACTTAGTTACCTTACTAAGATTTAATCATATTTTATTTAAATTTCTACAAATGCGTAAATTTCTCATTTCGCTTTATAATAATTTAAGCAAAATTAATCACTCTATATATATAATATTCATATTGTCAATTTTATAGCCCAAGTGTTAAATTAAATTAATAAATTTCCCACGAAATGGAAGTATATATTACATTAATTATCTATTTTATAAATAAGTATAATAAAATTCATTCATTTTTTCAAATTGAAGTAAATTATTAGAAAATGCTTCTGTTATTTAAAATAGCAATTTTTATAATAGCTATTTAAAATTTTAATAATAAATATTATAGTATATTAGTTAATATTGGAATAAACAATGTTTTTATATGGATTATATTAATATAATTATATATTACATTAATATATAAATACTTAGTTCTAAAAATAAATCCATAAAATTGAACAGTACTTAATTCATAATAAACATTGTAATTTGTTTATTACTTTGTTTCTATTATGAAGAATTCATAAAATACAAACATTGTAATTATAATTCATTCTTTAATTTTCAATACTCTTGATTATTTTTGAATAAATTTTTAATACTTTATTTTTAGTTATCTAAGCTAAATTCAACTAAATTTATGATTAGGTTTGTATATTAACTAAATTTAAAATCTTGGCTATATTTAGATTGTTTTTATATTTTTATGAGAATTATATTAATAATAAATATTTATATAATATTAATATTAATAAAAAAAAATATATTTATGAATATTTAATAGTTTGCCTAATAGAATTTGATAAATCTACCTACTAATTAAATGACTATCATTCTCTAAAATAAAAAAGGTGCTGGAACTTAAGGTGCTGTCTATTAAGGCTTTATAAAAAATAATAATCAATAAGTTGCTATAAAAATAGTTTAAGATTTAAGTAATAGAGAGAGTTAAATATTACAATAGATACAAATATAAAAAAAGAAACATATTATAAGTATATATGCAATAGAAAATTTAAAAAATTAAGCTATTGTTGTAATGGAATTGGCAGAAATGGATTTTTACTAATTTATGAAAACAAATCAATTTAAAACATCTGATGTAAATGAGAGAAATTAATTATATTCATAAGTATCAATATAATTTATCTTAGATGATATTAGGAGTTTAAGAATTCCATAATTTAGGTTATTTACATAGGGACTTAAAACCAGAAAATTTTGTGTGTTGTCGTGATTAAAACTAAAATTTAATCATTAAATTAATTGATTTTGGCATCTCCAAAATTCAATAAATTAATGGGAATCAATCCATGAATATAGGAACACCTTATTATATGTCTCGTGAAATCATCAATAATGAAAGTTATACTAAGGCTATTGATGTTTGGGCAATGGGACTTATTTGGTATGAAATCCTTACAGGATAAACATTTTTTAAAGGTATTAATTATTTTTCATCTAGGTAATAATTAATTATAAATCATGAATCAGATCTGTTCAATTCGATAATTTCAAATTGATTAACAAATCGATGCCCTCAATATGATTTAAAATGAATATAAAACAATTATGAAGGGAATGATTTGCATTGATAAGCAAAAAAGAATTTCAATAGATGATGCAATATATAAAATAAATGAATTTTTTTAGGAATAAAAAATAGAAAAAATAAAAGTAGATTTAAAAATATAATATGAAGAAAAAGAAAAATTAATCAAATTAGAAAATGAAAAGAAAATTGAAGAAATTCAGAATATATTAAAATTAGAATTGGAAAATGAATTTGAATTAAAAAAAGAGTAACTCAAATTTGAATACAATTAAAAAATTTAATAGAAGGAAATTGAATTAAAATAAATTAATGAGTAAAAACCTCTTATAGAATAGAATCAGCAAAATATAGAGGAATAAAAATTGAAAAAGGAATTATAATATTAAATAGAAATGAATTAATACAAAAAAAATTGTAAATTAGATTATCAATAAAAAATTGAATAAATTTAACGTTAATAAAAAGAGATATTTGAGAAAAATAAATAAATTGAAGAATAAGAAATTTAAAAAAAAATAAAAGAAGAATTCACTAAATTATACTAAATAGAATTGAATAAGAAATTATAAGAATAATAATTAGAAGCTGAAAGTTATTAGAAAAAAGAATAATATCATATTAAAAAGCAAAATTATAATTATATCATTAATCTATTAAAAGAATCTATTTAAAATGCTATATTCGATATTATTGAAAAAAAATAAAATATTAATGATTTATAAATAGAGAATTAAGATAAATATTCTATATTAAACTCAATTTAAAAATTTATAAAAGATAAGGAAGAAAGATTAAGTGAAATTAATAAAGACGAAAATATTTTTTTTACATTAGATGAAAGTTTACATTTTTCCAAGTTTGTAGAATTTGAAGTTAAATATAAAAATTAACTTCAAATCCATATTGAGGAAAAAAATATGATCGATCAAGAAATTAATAAATTTATGGTTAGTTAATTTAAAAGATAAGAATATATAGCCAGAGAGGATAAAATAAGGTAAGAGGAACTTTAAAATCAATAAGAAATGAAAAACTTAAATTAAAATTAAGAAATGTTAAAGAATCAATATAATTAATTCTAAATATAAATTGAAAATATTAAGACAATATGTGAAAATTATTCTCATTATGATCAAAACATAAGTAATAACTTTATAAGATTAAAACAAAATTCTAATCAAATAGCTTTAAGCTTTAACGAAGTTCAATAGTATTATTTATCTTTAGAAAATAATGTTACTTTAGACTATATTAATCTTATAAAATTAAAATTATAAGAAATACATAATTAATTATAAAGATTGCAAGAGAATATTATTTAAGTCAACGAATCTATTTCCACTTATGAATAATAGTTACAAAAACAAATGCATTCTGATTTAACATCTATTTAATATAAATCATAAGAAATATAATTCAAAATCGATAATTTCAAAAAAAATAATTATGAAAA